TTCCGTCCACTTCCCGTTGTCCAATCAATTCCACATTTTGCACACGTACTCAGATCCAGTGACAATGCATGCCTGTATCAAAGTCGGCATCAATTAATCAATTAATTCGCTACTTTAAAGCAATTTACATTTTAAATGGACGCCTTATTATTTACATATATTTGTTTAGGTCAAAAACGCTGCAGTCGCTAAACTGTGGAATCGGCTCGCACAAGAAGCAGGCGCCACGTGTCTCAGGCGTCATTGACGCACTTCTCGACCACGAGTTAAACGAACCGTTGAATAAAATCGTTGTTTTTTAAAAACTTATTTTAAAGGAGTTTATTCTCCAACACACCGGTGTGCTTTATTCGCAACGAATTGCCATGTTCTGTTTATGTGACAAACCTTACTAATTGGCTGTGTCGGGTGGTGGCGGGTTTAACGGCACATTTAGTTTTCACGCGATGAGCATTTCGTTGTTTCATCCAGGATGAAGGCGAGAGTGCCTCGTTACTAAAAACAACTACTTATATTCTTGGTTTTTCTTTTTCTTCTATTTACGTGACTTTACCGTAAGAACCAAGAATATGAATTCCTGCAGCCACGAAAGTTTTAAGTCAAAACAACTACTTGGCACCAAGATGACTATCAAAAACAATGCCAAAGGCGAAATAGACCTGGGTATTTTTTTTTCTAAATATCTCTTTGTTTATTTTACATGCTTTGTGTCTTTCGAGAGGCAATGTTTTTGTTCTTCGTATTGTGTTATCGTTGTTGTCTTGTACAGCGTTGTGAGATAATAATTATCTCGTTTCAAGGGGCCCCGGGGTATGGTGTGTTGGATATACGCTGAGGGGGTAACGGACGCTCCACACATTATTATTGGGTGATGCTGCTGCTGCTGCTGCGGTGGAAGTGGTGCACAAGCACAAGTAATAAACTCAAAACATTCGTCAACAACGCTGTGGCCTTAAAAAGGAAAAGTACAGCATAGGCTACGCTCAAGTAAAGTGACCCTTATTCAAAGCACGGAGAGAGGCGAGAGAGGTTTCTGCATTGCAATGACAGCTCACAAACCAACTGATCTGCTGCGTTATTTTCTTCAATTCATCTGCAAGGTTATTCTAATATAATTTCTAAAAAGTAAGCGTTGCTTGTCGCTGGTCTTTGCTCATGCACACGGGGTGAGAGAGCTCGCGCAGAATTCGCGATAGACACCATGACTCGTGGTATGATCGACTTGAAGTTTGCTTTTTGCTGCGTCATCCCTCAGTAAACAAGGTCACGTCACCCATTGGTGGGAGATAGGCATTGTCAGGAAGGTGGTTCACAGACAGAGGGATTGTGCACTTTTTACGTTGTGGTGTGCACGTGTGTTATCTATCCCTTCATGTTATTCAACATTTTAATGATTAGGTGCTCTAAACCCCAGTCAAAGAAAGTAACAGACCAAAGCAACTTTGTAGCAGGGCACTTTGTTGCTTGCCTGGCCCTTGAAACTGGTGCAGCTCATGACACATTCCGATGGGTGCTTGAGCTAGTTAAATGGATTACACTGTTCAAAACTCAGATCAGCCAGCAGTGACCCGATAACTTGCCACTGGGCCTCAAGTAAGGCAGAGATATTGGCACGGAGGTCACGGTGGTGATGGAAATTGCAAATTTAGTCCGCTAAATTTTGACAATGGCTGTAACAAAAACACATTCCATTCAAGGCAATTGCTTTTATTTCCTTGCCTTTATTTCCTTAAAAAAACTCCAAGCTGGCACTTTAACACATTGCCACACCTTATTCCATGACCTTTCTAATATTTTTTTGGGGGGTGGGCAGGAGGAGGTTTCCTCACCTCAGCCATGAATTTTACTAAACATTAACGTGCTCAAAGCATAAGCTGAGCCATGAGTAGTGATTCAGGTTTTTTTTTGCGATTAACCTATGTAGCATACTGTATATTATCATTATTCTTGTTTAAACGGGAAAGCCTCACCGAAGTCTCAAGATTATTTTCGGGAGGGCCCTGCCAAGTTTTCTGAGTATGGGGGGCGATTTTACTGCTGTGTAATTCCAAACGAGCAATTTGGAGGTCAAATATTCAGCATTGGGATATGTGGCCCATGCCAGTTACGGCGTGTGTTTGGTTCATTTACCTCCCGGGGAAACGAAAGAACCCGAAGTAAACTCATGCAAAACAGTGGGAGAACATTGAAGCTCCACGCATAAAGGCGCTCGAGTCTGGAATCCAACCCAGGGAACTTATTTCCGTGAGGCACACGTGTTATCACTTCGGCAATCTTCCACACTTGTCACGACACCTGCGATCTTTTTAAAGTTGTGATGTGCAAAGACTTTATTTTGCCAAAATACGTGACTATCTGTTACTAAAGGTAGCTTAAGTGCACACAAGGTTATGGAGACTAGTTTGTGGCACTCAATTTATATTGCCAATATTTTGCACATTTTATTTAATCTGTCACTAATAATCAATACTTACGAACCAATTATTGCACCCTCTGTTAGTTAAGTGTATTTTGAATGAACAGCATAATTTGCACAAAATGGCAATTGATTTATTGCCACTGTCCTGTAAATATGTATTGATATTTAAACGATGCACATACACATTCAACTAAATGAAATTGTTCACGAATGCCTCGTCATCTCTTCAGAGTTGCTTTTAAAATATAAGCAGAACTTGTTGATGCATAAGATTTACTGAGACACAAAAATACATTATTCCCGTTAACAAACGTACAGTTCTGAGATAGTAAGAGAGCAATTGTAATGCTAATAAGCACAAATAAAAAGAAAATGAAAAACCTATTTCGCCAGCTGTGTTTTGCTATAAAACATAAAAAATAAGGTTAATTGCTTAATTCTCATATTATCTTGCTGTTCCAATGCCAAGTCAAAGACATTCAAATATTTATTCCTCTTTAATGACGGAACGAGATTATAATTTTAAAGAAAGTAATAAAGTCATTACAATTCCATAATGCCTAAGGCGACTTATAGGCTTACTTACACACTTAGCACATGCTCAGCTTCATATATATTTTGTCAACCATGAGGAGTTCTAAATGTCTGTGGATTTAAATTAACTCGTGTTTACGCATTTTCATTTGTTAAACTCCATTTTTTTTCAACCAACATTTACAGAAATAAATCTTGTGTGCTAGCAACTTCCATGATCATTTTAATTACATCTCAGAAGTCCTCTGTCAGTGAAATTGCTAAAACTGAGCCAGCCAGCAGAACATTCTACAAAGTGTATTTTTTTTTAAATGTAAAATGTGATTAAATGTCATTGAAAATACTAAAACGATTTTCCTTCTCTCTGTCCCAGTTGCGATGGGACGCTGCCATGATGTAATGGCCAGCACACCGCACTTGGTCGCTGGTTCGATTCCATTTCCCTCAGTGTCAGTTTAAATAGATGGCAAGTTATTAAAACCCCCCACCTCCCCCACCGCCTATGTCCATCCAGCGATATAAACGGGCACACCACAGTCAATCGGCATGTCGGATGTGGTGGGGTAAAGCGTGGGTACTCCCAACTTTTCCAAAACGTCTATGTGTCACTTGACAACCTCGGAAATAGTGGGTCTTAACCTTTACTGAAGCCTTGCACCCCCTTTGTTTCTCAATCGTAAAACACGTGAAATTAAATCCACACGGATGTTAATACATACATAGGTTTGATGAAACAAAGTGTTCGTACTTACGTGCCCATGCTTAATTTGTGTTTTCAATTATTTACCTTCTAAAAAAATCTAGACATGTCTCGCACCCCCAGAAAGGGACATCTCGCACTCCCAGGAGGTGCATGCACCCCAGGTTAGTCACTGTTCTCAATATTTTAAATGAGATGTTCCATCTCAGGGGATTATCCTGGAAAAATCTTGACTTAGAGCTTTCGTGACTTCTCTCACCTGAAGACGATTGCTTGTGTTTTCGGATGAGAGAAGACGATTGTTTGTGTTGCGATCGAAACGTCGTGATATTTTTTGTTAATTATTTTTCTATCTACGTGGCTTTACCGAAAGACCCATAGAATATGTATCCTGGAAAAATATTTGTAATTAACAATAAAAAAATAAACTTGATTTGGAGTAATAAAAAAAGAATACTGTCCAACGTGGAAGAGGAGGCATAATATCCTCTGTAGAGGAGCTGTCTGGAGCTCTCCCTGAGCAGAGACCCTTCTGCCAGCAGTGGCGTAATAGTGCAGGGCTGCACCCATAACCAACTTTATAAAAATGAGTCTTTTACTCAGGTGCGATGAGAGTTTGTAGCTAATTTAATGCAGTAAGCTGCACACACATGAATGCTGCTGCATGTTTGAAGCCAATTGTAATAGGGTATGTCTCCTTATAGATAACAGCCATGAAGCTAGGATTTAGCGTAATCAGATTTAAAAGGAATGACATGCGTTTGGCAACTCAATGGCTCACATGCATATGGGCGAGCTGCCAAAAGGCCCCCGTGTGTCTTTATATAGTAACGTGTGGCATCTTTAATCTTTTTTTTCCAATCCCCAAATCTACCGCACACACACAGCCCTGCTTATCATTTACATTATGTGTATTCAAATTAAGCCTCGTGGTGGCCAGGGCGAAAACGGCTGTGCATTGTCTGTGCAGATTGCTGCTGCCCTAAAAAAAAATATGAACAAAATTAAAAGCCCCCATTTTTTTTCTAATCAGACGTCACGGTCCACCGTGGGGGAATAAACAAGCAGTTAAACAATTAGACGTTTACAATTTTCATGGGATGGGTCAAGGGTTTAGTTTGGATAGATCAACCTTTGTAACGGCAGCAATATAAATTTAAGCACACTCCTTCATTCACATTCACTTGGGCCAGTGCAATTAGTTGCACCACTACACAGCAGATGTTACAAATCCACACACCTTGAAGGCTGATCAATACGCGATCTGAAAATTCAGTGTGTTTGGGATGCCAGCAAACGGGGGGAGGGGGGGGGGGGAGAGAAAACGCTTCCATTGAAACGGGCAAATCAGTGTTTCCTATTATCTTTATTAAAGCAGCGTTATCCATGTGTCAATGAAGAGTGATGGAAATATGAATATTTCCGCAGCAGTGAAAGTCACTCCGCGGTACAGTGGGTCCACGGAGGCAATTTCGTTGGCAAAAATAACGACGCAAGGATGTTCCTTGTAGACCTTATCTGTAAAATGATACCGAGTAGGGAATAAAACATGCGTCGAGAGTGAGTTTACTCAGGTCTAACCACAATGCTTTCATTAGTCACATCACTTTAGTCACAGCACAATAATAAATAATTGCAATCAATTAAGAAAGAAACATGTATCTTCAAGTTGCAAATTAAAAACTAGCTTGTGCACTTCTGCAAATATTAGGGGTTGGAGTTTCTGCTTCAGAACAAATGCAGGCTAAGAGAAACCAGGTCCAAGATTCAATTAAAACCACAATGTTTGCCTGCATGAACGGGACAAAAATGAGTCAGTCTGGATTTTTCCACTGAGATTATGTCAACTGTTTTGTGCACTGGGGATTAACCTTCTATCGAGAGTTTTCTAGACAATTTCGTGCACACTTTGCTGGACAACCACAACATTGGGCCCGTTGGAAAATCCAGCCCGATTCATTTTCCCATCACAACTTGGTACTGCAGAGAGTGGGCATCGTTTCAACAACAAAAAAATTGCTTGTTATTTATAAATGTTTCACTAGGAGCGAGTCACAACTCCGCATGGACACCGAGAGGAAACATGGCCCCACCTCAAGTCACGTAAGAGTGCTCTGTGAAACACAGCATACAAGCTCATTATTCATCAAATAATTTACATCGGCAAACACAAGCGTCTATACACGGTGATTTGTATTTATTTAGTGAAAACGTCACGCGGCTGGTAGCATATAAAGACTAGTACCAATGCACGTATAAAAGGTAAAAAGTGATTTTTACGAGGGAGGCAAAACGACTGCAGTCCTTTCACGTCGACGAAGAGCTTACGTTTTCCTGCGAGCTAAAACAGCTAAACGGCTAACTGCTTCAAGGCGTAACATCCTCCCTAAAATTCCATTCCACAGCAAAAGTGGTGTGTACATCCAGAAGCACAACAGATAACAAATGCAAAGGGCAGGCTTCCTGCTGCAGGAAAGGAGTTGGACGAAAGCTGGCATTAAAGAAGCGGCTGCCGGTAAGCCCGCAAACGCTGCCCTGCTGACAATTTATTCTATGCTTCTGAACCCGAGTAAAATTTTTACTTTTTACAAATTTGGCTTGAGAGGAGAACATCTTTGCAAGTTGTGCTTTGCATTTGGTTGCTTCGGGGCGTCTACGGAGTCTGCGCTGTCCACACGCCTATGTTTCTTATGATGACCCAATCCGACTGCTCGCTAAGCACATTGATGCGCAGGCATGTGATTTCGAAAGGGGCCATTTTCAACACGTCTATGGAGTCGAACTGCCCGTCGGCGAACTCCCCGAGTGGCACGTAGTTGCTGCAGTCTCTCCCCGTGGACGTGGGCTTCAGGCCGTCCCCCACGGCCAGCGCGGCGTGACGTAGCACGTCCCCTTTCCTGTCCTCCGTTCCCGTGCGCACCTTGATCCTCTCGATCTTCGCCGCCTTCTTGAAGACGAGCAGGAAGAACTTGCCGGCGCTCGGCGCCTTCCCCCAGAAGTACTCGCCGCCCAGGCCGTAGGCCTTGTACGGGTGGTAGGCCTCGAACACCTCGATGTTGGTCCTGAGGAGGGCGGGCGGGTTGTCGGGCACGTCGGACGGCTCGTCCTCGAAGTCGTCGTCCTTGAGCTTGTTGGCCGTGCCCCGGAAGGACGAGTAGTACCCCATGTGCTGGAAGAGCGACGGCTTGAAGCGGATGGCGTCGCCCTGCGCCAACAGCGTGCGGAAGTGGTTGAGGAGCCAGTCGCACGGCATCTCCTGGTAGAACATGAGCAGGAAGCGGGCGAGGCGGGGCAGGTCGCACGAGCGGTACAGCTTGCCGATGTAGCCCAGCTTGGAGAACTCGAGCGTGGCCCAGGGCTGGCCCTCGAGCGAGGACACGAACTTGCGCACGTAGGTAAGGAAGTTGCGCGAGCACGCCACGTCGTCCTCCAGCATCAGGTAGTTCTCCGACAGGTTAGCGCAGAAGTTGGTGAGGAAGGCGTAGTCGACGTTCTGCTTGGAGCGGAAGGTCACCCTATCGTCGGGGTCGTCGAAGTTCCTCTTGAGGCCCTGCAGCGGCGGGTAGGTGTGCCGCGGGGCGTGGATGACCACCAGGCGGCCCCGCATGACGTGCTGCGAGAACTTGCGGGCGACGGCGCGCGCCGTGCCCTCGCACCACTCCGTGTCGAAGTCGGCGAGGTGCACGACGATCACCATGTCCGCGAGCTCCTCGTCGCTCGACTGCTCGAAGATCGACTTGAGCGTCTGCAGCAGGTAGTTGCCCCTCGCCCTCTTCACCGACGAGATGCCGATCGTCAGGTACTCTGCGACAACGAATCGAATCGAACGAAAAAATAATAGTCATACTTCCTCGACAGTGGCGCAAAAGCGTAAATAAATCTCGACATATTCGTCAATGACACTGCTCGAGAGAGGAAAAGTTATATAAATAGGTGACGTTGCGGTGCATTGTCCATTCTTCAGGCAATGGCCTTCTTCACTGCAATGAAAAACGGCCATTGTGCAAGAAAGTCACACATATTTTGAGAATCAATGATTGTTCGCATCGTTTGAGCTGAGTAATACATTGAGATGCCTTGGTGCAGGAGAATTTACTACCGGCCCGCTCGCAAAGTCCCGCCCAAGCACAAAATCAAACGTGAGCAGCAAAGTAGACATTACACGCATGGTGATTCATGTTACCACAGTCAGGTTTTAAACTGTCAAACGGCCTCATTCATTTCTTAGTGTGCGGTGATCGTAAAATTCACTCAAGGTAAACAAATACAACATATTTATATACAATATTAAAAAAGACATACGGTGTGTTTACGTGGGCCCAGTAAGAACCGCTGACATTGTTTTAAAACTCAAATAAATCTCAAGCAGCGTCAACCACTTTGTAACATTAACCGTCTTACTTTTCTTATTTGAAGGATAACCAGCGAGGTGGTAGTACGTTATGTTCAGAAGGGAGCCGATGTCTGAAAGATTTCTGAAGGACAGTTCATTCTTCTCGGAGTAGAGCTGTTTCAGAAGAACCTCTTTTGCGATTCTTTGCTCTTCATTCTAAAGGGACATGAATAAAAATACACACATTGTCACCATCATCGTTTTATTCTTCAAACTATGAAACTAAACTATTGTCTAAACTATGTTTATGCTTCACCAGGTAAAGCCCACTGAGCTGAAAAGCTCTTTTTTTTAGAAGCGACCTGACCACAAATGATAGCTCAATGAAGTGGCTTACAGTGAGGGAAAAAAGTATTTGATCCCCTGCTGATTTTGCACGTTTGCCCACTGACAACGAAATGATCAGTCTATATTTTTATTGGTAGGTTTATTTGAACAGTGAGAGACAGAATGACAACAAAAAAATCCAGAAAAACGCATGTCAAAAATGTTATCAATTGATTGGCATTTTAATGAGGAAAATAAGTATTTGACCCCTCTGCAAAACATGACTTAGTACTTGGTGGCAAAACCCTTGTTGGCAATCACAGAGGTCAGACGTTTCTTGTAGTTGGCCACCAGGTTTGCACACATCTCAGACGGGATTTTGTCCCACTCCTCTTTGCAGATCTTCTCCAAGTCATTAATGTTTCGAGGCTGACATTTGGCAACTCGAACCTTCAGCTCCCTCCACAGATTTTCTATGGGATTAAGGTCTGGAGACTGGCTAGGCCACTCCAGGACCTTAATGTGCTTCTTCTTGAGCCACTCCTTTGTTGCCTTGGCCGTGTGTTTTGGGTCATTGTCATGCTGGACTACCCATCCACGACCCATTTTCAATGCCCTGGCTGAGGGAAGGAGGTTCTTATCCAAGATTTGACGGTACATGGCCCCGTCCATCGTCCCTTTGATGCGGTGAAGTTGTCCTGTCCCCTTAGCAGAAAAACACCCCCTCAATTTTTGACGGTGGGGATGGTGTTCTTGGGGTCATAGGCAGCATTCCTCCTCCAAACACGGCGAGTTGAGTTGATACCAAAGAGCTTCATTTTGGTCTCATCTGACCACAACACTTTCACCCAGTTGTCCTCTGAATTCATTCAGATGTTCATTGGCAAACTTCAGACGGGCATGTGTATGCGCTTTCTTGAGCAGGGGAACCTTGCGGGCGCTGCAGGATTTCAGTCCTTCACGGCGTAGTGTGTTACCAATTGTTTTCTTGGTGACTATGGTCCCAGCTGCCTTGAGATCATTGACAAGATCCTCCCGTGTAGTTCTGGGCTGATTCCTCACCATTCTCATGACCATTGCAACTCCACGAGGTGAGATCTTGCATGGAGCCCCAGGCCGAGGGAGATTGACAGTTATTTTGTGTTTCTTCCATTTGCGAATAATCGCACCAACTGTTGTCACCTTCTCACCAAGCTGCTTAGCAATGGTCTTGTAGCCCATTCCTGCCTTGTGTAGATCTACAATCTTGTCCCTGACATCCTTGGAGAGCTCTTTGGTCTTGGCCATGGTGGAGAGTTTGGAATCTGATTGATTGATTGCTTCTGTGGACAGGTGTCTTTTATACAGGTAACATGCTGACATTAGGAGCACTCCCTTTAAGAGTGTGCTCCTAATCTCAGCTCGTTACCTGTATAAAATACACCTGGGACCCAGAAATAGTTCTGATTGAGAGGGGGTCAAATACTTATTTCCCTCATTAAAATGCAAATCAATTTATAACATTTTTGACATGCGTTTTTCTGGATTTTGTTGTTATTCTGTCTCTCACTGTTCAAATAAACCTACCATTAAAATTATAGACTGATCATTTCTTTGTAAGTGGGCAAACGTACAAAATCAGCAGGGGATCAAATACTTTTTTCCCTCACTGTATCTTGTGGAAATGTAAAGCAGCCAAACACTCCAAACGCGTGAAGTTGTTTATAAATGTGGAGGGGAGAAACCGGAGGACCCTGGAGAAAAATCCACGCAACCACGATATAAGAAATATTTATATATATATAAAATGTCAGTGTTATATGATTGGGGTGAAAAGCAGCAGGGAGCAAAGAATGGTCAATTGACTTTGCAACAACCCCAATATCTGAAGGTCTAAACTCGGGTCAGGACGAGTCTAAGGGCTATTCTTAAGGTTAATGAAAGAGAAGCCCGGGTTATCACTGTAATCGGAAGTTTATTTCCCTCTTGAAGGATAGAAGAAAAATATCTTAGCTTTTAAAGCTATTCATGTTCGTTTCACCCAAATCAACAAACCATTACACGGCACAGTTATAGGGAATTTAAGGCAGATAATGGTGTTATTTTTTGGCATGGGAAATCTTTATAAAACAATTACATATACTGTATACCCTCAAGTAACAATTCATGTGCTATTCATTTGGGCATTCATCATCAGCTATGATAAATCCACTGCTGGATGAAGAACCCTCGAGTTGATACTATTTCTCATGATCCTGCAATGTAATAATCCACGTAAAATTTACTACTGCTACTAATAATAAAGTAATTTACAGCTCATTGTTAATCCACAACTATATGAAGGCCTCACCATGCTGTGTCAGTAATATAGGGTTGTAAGACCATACTTCACCATGCTGATCTGTGTGGGTTGAAGGGGGAGTGGCCCAGCACCGGTTTGCCACTGGTGTTAGCTGAGGCTAGGAATCAAACTCAGGTAGAGCCGGTTCGTGGCAAGTGCACTAACGACTCTGCTGCCACGTTGGCAAGTTAACCTAAGTGCATGACTTCAACAGCCCAGACAGAAGACCAGCATTGTATTGTGTGAATCAATGCATGCAGTCCCCGGGTTACAAAAGGGTTCGGTTCCCCAGAAAGATCTGTAACCCTGAACAATCTCCCCCCCCCCCCCAAATCAAGATAAAATCCCATAGCCAGATATAGTTGTGCCTCCCCTACCCGATTACTAGTTCGTTTTCTCTCAGTACTGTATCATACAAAAGGAAACTAATTACGTACGCTACAAAAAAATCCATTTACCTTGAGCCTTAGGCTCGGTGAAGGCGGTATTCGGCCACAACCTCAGCGAGCTGCAACGTTTGTGCTTACGCAATTAACGCAAAAAAATGTCCGCATATTGCATTCTTTTTTACATGCTTTTTGGGAGCATTTCCGTAAAGTTGGATTTCCGTAAGTCGGGTCCCTTTCGCTGTATAATAATTAAGAATTCCTATAAAGAATTGAGGATTGCAATATTTGCCATGTAGAATGTTGAACACCGAGTTCAGAGTAAACAATTAATTGATCATCTGCAATATCCAATCACAGGGGGTGGAGCAGTGGCACATTAGTTAGCACACTGTGCTATGAACCTGACCACCTGAGTTTGATTCCTGGCCCCGGCTAACATCAGTGGCGAGTGATATCTGAACCAGTCCTGCCATCACTTGGTGTCATGTGTAAACATCAACACTAGGAAGACAAAGGTGGCTAGGCATTGTCTGGGCACACCGCCGTCTCAACCTTAATAGGTGCTCGCGAACAGCACTTGACTAAAACAGTCTGGTTAGGCAATATGGGCATCTTTGTCTTTGTGTGGCAGCGTGCTACATTGTATTTGACTATAAAGATACGCTGAAGATGGTTGACTATCTATTGCTCAAAGGCTCAAAGCACATGTTAACACACCCATAGCATGTGCCTTAATATATTTCATTATATAATTAGTTTGAACAATCCCATAAATCATAATCGGGTTACAATGACCTTGCAGGATATTCATTACAAACAATTTCTATTCCATTTCAATGAAGCCAATCATGCAAATTAGATATATCTTTTTTTCTTTTGAATTCCAAATAGGTCATGAAAACTGTCAAAGTCTTCCTGATGACATGTTCATTAGGGTTTACGACACATTAAACGGATTATTTTGCCCGCCTTTATCAGCCACCAGTTTTCTTGAATGATTTTACAAAATCCCATTATACCCATGCTGCCGTGGTGTGTAACGGATCACATGCTGGACTTACCAGCCCAGAGGTCGCCTGTCCGGCAAGGGCTACTAAAAGTGGCTCACACCACACCACAGTCGACTAGCAGCAGGTTGATTGGTGGTGGGGTAAAGTGTGGGTACTCCTACCTCTTCGAAGATGTCTGACCAGTGTGGAAAAGTAGGCCAAGTGCTCTCTAGAGTGGGGTGGGGGTGGTGCCCTTCGACCAGCAATGGCTGTACCTTTACCTCGGAACATGATGGAATTACAGTGTCTAGAGCAGGCGACTTGCAATTGGTCGGGAGCTCAGCCCTTCATGCCTTCAGGGTCAATAAAATGCGTACCCACTTTGTGGAAAGTCTGCAGTGATTGTCCTGTGGATTTACTCATTCTCACAAAATAAATTTGGATTATTTTTAATCACTCGCTCAGGGCTGTAAACTGTAGATGACTTCCTACCTATTTGAGATTAAACTTTGAACAGAAACTACTTTTATTTTTTTTACTTGACACGGCCTGGGGTAGGTGCTCACATAAATTGTCCACGGATGGGATAGATTGATGAGCCTTAATATGAGTCATACTTATAATCGCCATAGTAAGTCACCTACCATTCGTTCCAAATGGGAGTTTCACATAGCCAATAATCAGCCCAGATGCTACCGTGGTGTAACGGTTCGCACAATGGACAAACCATAGGTCTCCGGTTCAATCTCCCAGTGTGGCAGTTAAAAAAATATGGGCATGATTCTTAAATCCCCCTGGTCTCTGCCTACCCGGCAGTATAAATCGGTACACCAGCAGTTTAGTTGACCGGAAGGTCGCGTGTGGTTGGGTAAAGTGTGGGTATTTCAACCTCGACCAATATGTCTGGCCAATGTTGACGAGTGGGCTAAATGTCCTCTACAAGGGGCTCTCCAGAGTTTTCCACGAGTGGAGGCCCTTCTTCAGCAGTGGCAGGAACAAACAATTTCGGGGTTGCACCTTCACTATTCTGGCCCACAAGTTTAAACAGATCTCATGCGGTCATCACAGATTGAACCTACGACCTTCCTGCGAGCGAGCGCCAGCGATTGTTCTGACGCTAGTTGTCGACAGCTGGTTGTTTTAGCATTATTATCATGATCATAAATAGAAATATAATAGCTTTTTTTTTAA